AAAGCAGAGCATGTAAAGGTGTGCAGAAGTTTAAATGGATGCATACCAGGCATATATGCATGCATGAGCAAGATCCCAGGAGGAGAATGGAAGAGAAAGGATTGCAGAGTGGCCATCCCCCTGGGGGATGATTTATTTCTTTTTTTTTGGAGAGATTTTCACTATAGGGCGCGTGCGCTCGCCAGACAGACAGAGACAGAAAGCAAGAAATCACCTCCTAGGGGAGATGGTCACGCCGCAGTCCCTTCTCCTCCATTCTCTTCTCGGGATCTTGGGCACACAACGCACACACACCCAGCTTGAGTTTTAAGCCACCGGATCCGGGACGCTAACCGCAGTCGACTATGTGGGAGTCCAGCGACATAACCATTATGCTAACTGCTAGTTCCCCTTGGGGATGATTTCTCACCTTCCCTCTCACTGTCTCTGTCTCTTTCTTGCTCCCTGGCAAGCGCATGGCCTTAAGGCAAAAACCTCTAAAAAAAAGTTTAAATGATGAACAGAGTGACAGCAAAGCAGTGGTCAAACTGTTCCACTGATAGGCTTCCCTCTGCTACCTCCTACTGACTGATACATTCAGCTAGAGCTATCCAAAACCCACTGAAAGACTATTACAGTGTTCAAACCCTCAATCTTCTCTTTTTTTTGAGAGGTTTTTGCTATAGGGCGCATGCGATTGCCAGAAAGACAAGAGACAGGGAGACAGAAAGCGAGAAATCACTCCCCAGGGGGGATGGTCCCTCCATTCTCCTCTCAGAATCTTGGGCATGCATGCACACGTGCCCAGTGTGAGTTTAAGCTACCGGGTCCAGGACTCAAACCGTGGTCGACTACATGGGAGTCTGGCAACATAGCCATTACACCAACTGCTGTTCCCCTTCAATCTTCCTTTTACTCATGACTTAGCACCCACAAATTTCATGGCAAGCACTGAGCTAAGAGATTTACCTGAATCATGTTATTCTTGCCACAACCCTACAAGGAAGGTCTTCTAGCCACTGCATTAAAGATTATACTGACATTTAAAGATTCCAATGACTGGCTCATGGTTCATCAGACATAGCTGGCAGAACTGGGGCTTTTAGAGGAGCTCACATTCTTTTTTTTTTTTTTAAGAATTATTTTATTTCACTTATTATCATCATTACTATTTGTTTAATTTTTTTAGAATTATTTAATTTTATTTATTCATTAATTTTATTTTAATTTGACCAGAGAGAGACATACAGCGAGAGAGAGAGAAAGTGAGAAAGCAAGCCACCAGGTCTGGGACTTGAATCATGGTTGGCCATGCGGGAGCGTCCAGTGCCTTAACACCCACCATGCCACTGACTAATCACACTATTTGTTTAATTTGACCACAGAGAGACAGAGAAAGAAAGGGAAAGTAAGAGAGCAAGCCTCCACGTCTGGGACTCAAACCATGGTGGGCTATATGGGAGTCCAGTGCCTTAACCACCATGCCACCTGCTGGCCCAGGAGTTCACACTCTTAACTACCAGGACAGTGTTTCTCAAATTACCAGTGTCTGGGTTTTGACAATGTATAAATATTTTTCCATCATAATCTTAAAAACAAACTGGCAGTAGCACTTTCTAATTAAGACTTGCTTGAGAATGCATCGTGTTGACTCCATAAGCTACTCAGTTTAGAACAGATTTCCTAAGTGGCTCAATTTTTTTTTTTTTAAAGAATTATTTTATTGGGACCAGCAGTTGGCGTAATGGCTATGTCACTGGACTCCCATGTAATTGTCCGCGGTTCAAGTCCTGGACCTGGTGGCTTAAACTCATGCTGGGCGTGTGCGCATGCATACCCAAGATCCTGAGAGGAGAATGGATTGCAGCGTGGCCATCCCGCCTGGAGGGTGATTTCTTTCTGTCTGTCTCTGTCTTTCCAGTGAGTGCATGCGCCCTATAGCAAAAACCTCTCAAAAAATTATTTTTTTTAACCTTATTTATTTATTTAAATGTGACCAGAGAGGGACAGAGGGAGAGAAAGCAAGTCTCCAGTTCCAGTACTCAAACTGCTGTTGGCCATGTGGGAGTCCAGCACCCTTAATCACTATGACACTTGCCGGACCCACTACGTGACTCAATTTTAATGAAGGCCAGAAGTCCTCACAGTACTCTCAGGGCACAGTGGCTCTGCAGCAGTCTCTCAAGGTGAAAATGGGAGAGTGGGACCATCTGTCAGTATAGTGGCACAGGCATCCCTTCCAGAGTCCCACCATGGCCTCAGGAATGTCCTAATACTGTTCATGTCATGGCAATGACTTGGATTCAGCAAAATAGTTTTTTATTTTAATTATTTAATTTGGGGACCAGCAGGTGGCATGGTGGGTAAGGTGCTGGACCTCCCACAAGGCCAACCAAGGTTCGAGTCCTGAACGTGGAGGCTTGCTTTCTCCCTTGTTGTATGTGTGTGTCTCTCTCTCTGGTCAGATCAAAATGAATGAATTAATTAAATAAATAAATAATTCTAAAAAAAAGGAAAGCTCATCACTCTTAGAAAGAATATATTCACTGCCATTTAAAAAAATATTTAATTTTTATTTATTATTATTTTAATTTGACCAGAAAGAGACTAAGAGGGAGAGAGAAGGAAAGTGAAAAAACAAGTCACCAGGTCTGGGACTCGAACCATGGTTGGCCACATGGGAATGTAGCACCTAAACCATCATGCCACCTGCCGACCCTATGTAATGTTTTCTTTTTTAAAAAAGAATTATTTTAACTTTATTATTATTATTATTATTTTCCAGTTTTGCCAGATATACAGAGAGGGGTAAAGTGAGAAAGGAAGCCACCAGGTCCAGCACTTGAACCATAGTTGGCCATGTGGGAGTCTCCTGTGCTTTATTTATTTATTTTTTTGTAGAGGTTTTTGCTATAGGGCACGTGCGCTCACCGGAAAGACAGAGATAGACAGAGAGAGAAAGCGAGAAATCACCCCCCAGGGGGATGGCCACACCACAATCCCTTCTCCTCCATTCTCTTCTTGGGATCTTGGGCACACATGCACACGCGCCTGGCGTGAGTTTAAGCTACCGGGTCCGGGACTGGAACTATAGTTGACTATGTGCGAGTCCAGCAACATAGCCATTATGCCAACTGCTGGCCCCCTCCCCATGCCTTTAACAACCATGCTACCTGCTGGCCTCCCTTAAGTCTTATAGAAGCTTTTTTATTTTTTTAAGAGAAATTTTTGCTATAGGGCATGTATGCTCGCTGGAGAAACAGACAGAGAGAAATCACCTACCATGGGGATGGCTACCCTGCCTCAATCCCTTCTCCAGTCTCCTCTTGGGATTTTAGGCACACATGCACATGCGCCTGACATGAGTTTTTTAAGCCACTGTGTCTGGGACTCGAACCGTGGTCAACTACGTGGGAGTCCAATAATGTAACCATTACACCATCTGCTGGTCCCAATTCTGTAGAAGCTTTAAGCAGACTTTTATGATGGTACACATTTCATTAACATTATAATAAAACTGAAAATAAGAGCCAAATGATACAGCAGTAAAACAGTGATCTGTAAGGCTGATCCAGATGGGAATGTTCTCAGTTCATATCCAGAAGTCTTTCTGAACACATCGAGTGTGCATGCATGTATCCATGAGCTGGCGCTGTCTAATGCTGGGGGGTGGATCACAGCATGAGATCTCATTAATCTATAAGTAAACTTAAAAAAAAAAACATAAAAACAATACCGAAGTTATATGAAGAAAGACCTCATGCAACTATGATTTCTCAAGTTTGAGAAACTGGTTAGGATCATTTGCTTCCCTAACAATTCCCTCCTTCTACCTAGAAGAGTGTCATCCACTGATATGAGGGTTAAAGAGAGAAAAGCTTCTGGATTCTAATTTGGTTTGGAGGAAAGTCACAACTAGCTAGAACCAGAAGGTAGCTAGACTTAGAAGAGTTCAAGTTCTCACTTTCTCCCTATGGTTTATTTGTGGTTGGTTCCTAGAGAAACAGTAGCACCAAACCCCAAACTTAATAGGTAATAAAGCTAGGGGCCAGCAGGTGGCATGGTGAAGGGTGCTGGACTCCCACATGGCCAACTGCGGTTCAAGTCCCGGACCTGATGGCTTGCTTTCTCGAGAACTTTCTCTCTCTCCCTCTCTCACTCTACCCCTCTCCAGTAAAATTTAAAAATATAAATAAATAAAAAAAAAATTCTTTTAAAAAATATGTGATAAAGCTTGAACAAACTTTCCAACTTGGAACTAAAGGATGAATTTTAAAACTTTAGTTTTTTTTCTTTTTTTTTTTTGAGAGGTTTTTGCTATAGGGCGTGTGCGCTCACCAGAAAGACAGAGAGAGAGACAGAAAGTGAGAAATCACCCCCACACCAGGGGGGATGGCCATACTGCAGTCCCTTCTCCATTCTCCTCTCGGAATCTTGGGCATGCACGCACATGCACCCGGCGTGAGTTTAAGCCACCGGATCTGGGACTCAAAGCATGGTCAACTACATGGGAGTCCGGAAAGATAGTCATTATACCAACTGCTGGTTCCAAAAACTTTAGTCCTTTTTATAAAGCTTGCATTTCACTCAGCCAAAATTGGAAAAGGGAGAAGTCTTCTGTCCTCCTAAAACATGTTACATGAAGGAATGGACAAATGAAGAGGAGACTTCACATCATCTGTTTGACAGGCTTCCAAGTATCCAAGGCAGTTCAACATCAGCTTTTTTTTTTTTTTTTAAAGAATTATTTATTTAATTTTATTCATTAATTCATTGATTTTTACTTTAATTTGACCAGAGAGACAGAGACAGAGACAGACAGAGAAGGAGAGAGAGAGGAAAAGTGAGAAAGACTCAAACCGAGGTCGGTCATGTGGGAGTGTCCAGCACCTTAACCACCACGCCACCTGCTGGTCCCAACATCAAGAAGCTTCTTGATCAACATCATACAAAGGTTGCTCAACATTTTGCTGCCTCCACCTGTGGACATGGGCTGTGCTGCAATTAAACAGCTACTTAAATTTGAGAGAAGCAAGACTTTAATGAAGAATGCTACAAGTATGGACAATAATTAGTTCTCATATTTTAAAAAAAGATTACAGAAAACACTTTACTGAATTTTTTTTCTAAAAAGACAGTCTTTAAGGGTTTCCAAGAGAGACAGCAAGCACAACACAATACAAAAGGAGAAGGGAATGTTGAATTCTGGTGCAAGACACTAACACAGCACAATTAGGGACCAGGCAGAAGCAACTGTTTCACAAAGAACGGAATTAGGCATTTATGTTCAATCCAGATTTTTTTTAAGCTTTAAAAGTCCAGCATAAGGAAGGGAACTGAGAAAGGAACTGGGGAAGGGGGCACTAAGCTTATCTACAATCACCATTTTTACCAAAAAACACACTGGTTCAACCACATGAGAAGTGGAGGATAAACCTGCCTACTTAGCCCAGCAGAAAAGAGCGAATGCAGTCAGGTCTAGGGGTCATGTCACAATTGGCTAAACAGTATTTAGAGGGAACTAGATTCCACAAGGACTGTTCTTTCCCCACCCTGTGTTCATTACTGATGAAGTTTCTTGGCATTTGCATTAGAGGGCCAAAACTTTGTGTAGAACAAGTTCACTCCAAATAATGCTCATTTTGCTGGTTTTAACAGGTTATGGAGTCATAAATGGCTCCTAGTAGACTCCACCATTTCCTAGAAGATTCTACAGATTACTGGGGATTTAAATTTAAGCAAACCACTAAAGAAGGGAAACACTAATAATATTCTGGCACTGTACAAGATGTGTGCCTGTCATCCTTGCCAAGGACATGGAGTGGGCTTGGCTTTGTTTCTTAACTCCATGATCTCCAACAGTGATGAAGTAGAACTGAGACCTCCCCCACATCGAAAGAGGTTATCCAAAATTCTCATCCCAGCCCAGCTTCTGAAAGGAACAGCAGACTACCAGGGGCTATTACTAGGAACCATGCTCCTGTGAATTCTGTAGAAATGAAAGCCTGTTTCAGTTTATGCCAAGTTTTTTCATGGTCCGCCAGCGATCCTTAATCATCACAGCTGTTCGGTTAACAAATGGGTAATTTTTAGAAATGGCAACCCAGTTTCCTTCCCCGTATTTCTGCACTCCAGCCTTGACCCACTCGCTTTCTTCTACAGTCCACTTCTGCAAAAAAGAAAATGAAAAAACTTATCACAATCTGTCCTGCTTATATCTTCTCCAATACTATGATAAGGTAAACTTAAGAATACTAGGAGATGGGGCCGGCAGGTGGTAGGGCGGTTATGGTGCTGACCATAGTGTGAGTTCTGGCCCTGGTGGCTTAGCATTCACAGTGGGTGCATGTGTGTGTGTGTCCAAAATCCGAGGAGGAGATTGGAGCAGAAGGGACTGTGATGTGGCCATCTCCCTTGGGGAGCGATATCTCTGGCAAGTGCATACAACCTATAGCAAAAACCGTAAAAACCGAAAAAAAAAAAAAAAAAAAAAAAAAAAACACCCAAATATTAGAACGGGGCTGGCCCTTGTGACCTAGTGGCTAAGGACACTCAATTCCGCATGGGTTTAAGTTCCAGCCCCAGAAGTGTGCATGTCTGCCCAAAATCCTGACACGATGGAGAAATGGAGAAGGGACTGTGGCATGACTATGCCCCACTGGGGGGTGCTTTCTCCCTCTTCCTCTCTCTGGCAAACACTTGTGCCCTGTGGCAACTGAAAAAAAAATTTGCTAGAATGCTAGAAGAAGAATCTGAATCTAAGATCAGAGTTTAGGTTTCTAAAACACGGCATAGATAGTAAGGGAACACTGTGGATCTGGACGTTTAATGATTTTCAGTGTCCTGCCACTTATCCACTAATAATTGCTTCTTCATTTCAAACTTCAAACATGTGTGTGGTTTTCATGATCCAGAAGGTGTGTTAAGGCCCTGTCCTCCTAGATTTTTTTCCAGAGAATAACTATAACTTACTTTGAATTATTTGAAAATCTCAAAAATTTTTATTGGGTATATGGGTAGGCTATGCCTATAAGCTGGGGTCTTATTTTACTTCTGTTCTACCTACACAAGTTGTATCAGAAAACAGAATTTCAGATTACCTGTTTTCTTGCTACACTGGTTACACTGTCTTCATCTGGTGCTGCTGGAAAACATTAAAAATAGACTCATTTTAGAGTTTACCTTTCTCTATATAAACAATAAGAAAAGACATAGAATATCCCCAAAGGGAAAACTTCATTCAAATTTCAAACTTTTCTCAAATTTTGAGGAAAGAAAGGACATAATTACAGAATAATTTATTTTTGTACTTTGCAATAATAGTCATTTCAGCCCATGAGAATCTGTAAAGCTACTGCTTTAATCAGGGGACATCAACAAGTTCATGGAAAAATGGAATTAAAGTACGAGTTTATTTTGGTGCAAAGAAAAAAATACATGCAGTCTTTTCATAATAACCATTTTCCTTTAAGTTTTTAAATAAATGCCTTATACAAAAAGACATTCAATAAATGCTGGTTAATAATAGATTTTAGGTACTTCAGTAAAAACCATTTTATATATTTTTTAAAGATTTATTTGGGGACCAACAGGTGGCGTGGTGGTTAAGGTGCTGGACACTTTCATGTGGCTGACCACTGTTCAAGTCCTGAACCTGGAGGCTTGCTTTCTCACTTTCCCTTTTTCTCTTTCTCTCTCTCCGGTCAAATTAAAATAAAATGAATGAATAAATAAAATTAAAACTTGTTTTTTTAAAGAGAATTATTGGACCAGCAGTTAGCATAATGGCTATGTCGCTGGACTCCCACGTAGTCGACCGCAGTTCACATCCTGGACCCGGTGGCTTAAAACTCACGCCGGGCACGTTTGTGTGCGTGCCCAAGATCCTGAGAGGAGAATGGAGAAGGGATTGCAGCGTGGCCATCCCCCCGGGGGGTGATTTCTCGCTTTCTGTCTGTCTCTGTCTGTCTGGCGAGTGCACGCGCCCTATAGCAAAAACCTCTCAAAAAAATTTTTTTTAAAAAGAGATTTATTTATTTATTTAATTCCACTTGTTATTATTTTTTAATTTTTGACCAGAACGAGAAAGGGAAAGCAAGAAAGCAAGCTGCCAGGTCCAGCACATGAACTGTGGTCGGCCACATGGGAATCCAGCACCTTTAATCACCACGCCACCTACTGGCCCCAGTAAATACCACGTTTTTTTTAACTAGGGTCAGCAGATGGTATAATGGCTACGTGTCGCTGGACTCCCATGTAGTAGACCACAGTTCGAGTCCTGGACCTGGTGGCTTAAACTCACACCGGGTACATGTGAGTGCGTGCCCAAGATCCTGAGAGAATGGAGAAGAAGGGACTGCGACATGACCATCCCCTCTGGGGGGTGATTTCTCGCTTTCTGTCTGTCTGTCTCTGTCTTTCTGGCAAGGGTACATGCCCTATAGCAAAAACTTCTCCAAAAAAAAATTACTGGGGGGGGCTGAGAGGTGGTGTGGTGACTAAGGGTGCTGGAATCCCACGTGGCTGACCGTGGTTCAAGTCCTGGCCCTGGTGGCTTGCATTCTCACTTTCTCTTACTCTGGTCAAATTAAAATAAATAAATAAAACTGTTCTTGACAAAATTATTGAGGGACTATCATACTTAAAACTATAATATATACACACATGAAAATATACTATATATCTATGTACACATAAATGTGTGTGTAGGTGTACATGTGTATGTACATGTATGTGATTGCTGCTTTATAACCCTTTGCTAACCACTGCTTTGAAATAATACAGTTTCACTGTTTTGTACTTTGCTTTCCCAACTCTTTGATCATTTTGGTTCCGATCCCTAAAGGAAAAAGCAGAGTAATAATTATTGCTTCCCTTGGGGCCAGCAGGTGGTGTGGTAATAAAGGCAGTTGGATTCCACACTGCCCACTGCAGTTTAAGTCCCAGACCTGACAGCCTAAAAATCAAGAGGGGCGCATTGTATGCATGCCTAAATCCTAAGAGGAGAATGGAGAAGAGACTGTGGTGAGAAATCATTCCCCCCGATTTCTGACTTTCTCTCTCTTTCTCTCTCTCTCTCTCTGGTAAACACATGCCCCCTTTGGTAAAAACCTAAAAGAGGAAAAAAATATTACTGCTTTGCTCTCCTACAGACTACACCAGATCTGCTCAAGGTTGCACTCTATAGAAAGAGATCAGGTTTCAAAATATATCAAGATAATTTTGTAAAAGGCCAAATAGCTATAGCAGGATTTATAAGAATAAAAGACATGCCATTTCCAGTTAATGAGAGCCTGTTAAAAGCTGCAAGAAAAGGCAATATTGCATAAACATAAAACTTACTAGAGTGTCCACTGTCCTGCCCGTGTTTTCTTTTTTTTTTTTTAAAGAATTATTTTAACTTACTTACTTGCTTTATTTATCTTAATTTGACCAGAGAGGGGGAAAGTGAGAAAGCAAACTGCCAGGTCCAGGACTCAAGCCACGGTCCTATATGTGTCAGTCCAGTGCCCTTAACTACCATGCCCTTAACACTGCCAGTCCCCTGGCAGTGTTTTTATAAAGAATTGTTTAATTTTATTTATTAATTTATGTATTTTTAAATTAGAACAGAGCAAGACATACAGTGAGCAAGAAAGCAATCCACTGGGTCCAGGACTTGAACTGCAATTGACCATGTGGGAGTGTCCAGCGTTTTAACCACCACACTACCTGCTGGTGCCCCCGGCAATGCATTCACCAGAAAGACAGAGAGAGACAGAGAGACAGAAAACGAGAAATTACCCCCTGAGGGGGATGGCCATGCCACAATCCCTTCTCTTGGGATCTTGGGCACGCACGCACACGCATCCGGCGTGAGTTTAAGCCATCTGGTCCAGGACTCAAACCACGGATGACTACATGGGAGTCTAGTGACATAGTCAATACGCCAACTGCTGGTCACTTTCCATGCGATCTTGATCTTGCTATATAAGACCAATGAAGGTACTTTTTAAGGATAAAACCTTTGAGACCGACAAAGGATTACTGTTGCTATGTTACAGAAATCTTTAGAACCCCCTAAATTAAGGTTTAGCACTTAAATATTTCCATTAGAATACAAAATATGTGGTGGGAGAGATTCTAATGCAGATGCTATGAAGTGTAGTATTAACTATGGAAAAGTAAAGTTTCTTTACTTTTAACTTTAGGAAAAACATATAAAGACAGGCAAGAAATGACCTCTATTACCTTTTCTAAGTAAAGGACTTATAAAAAAATGTTAACTACGTGGGAACCAGCAGTTGGCGTAATGGCTATGTTGCTGGACTCCCACGTAGTCGACCGCGGGTCGTGTCCTGGACCTGGTGGCTTAAAACTCACGCCGGGAGCGTGTGCGTGCATGCCCAAGATCCCAAAAGGAGAATGAATGGAGGAGAAGGGATTGCGGCGTGACCATCCCCCCTGGAGGGTGATTTCTCGCTGTCTGTCTCTATGTCTCTCTCTGTCTATCTGGCGAGCGCATGCGCCCTATCGCGAAAACATCTCCAAAAAAAAAAAAAAAAAAAGTTAACTACAGTGGGCCTGCTGGTGGCATTGTGGTTAGAGTGGCTGGATCCCTTATGGTCAACTGAGCAGTTCAAGTCCTGGACCTGGCAGCTTGAAAAACATGCTGGGTAGGGCCAGCAGATGGCGTAGTGGATTTCTACATGGTCAACCACAGTTCAAGTCCCAGACCCAGTGGTTTGAAACTCACGCCAGGCACGTGTATGTGCATGTCTAAGATCCTAGGAAGAGAATGGAGAAGGGATTGTGGTATGGTCATCCTCCTGGGGGGTGATTTCTCACTTTCCCTCTCACTGTCTCTGTGTCTCTAGAGTGCATATGCCCTAAGGCAAAAACCTCTAAAGAAAAAGGAAAAACATGTGAGGTGTGTGGGTGTTTGTATGCATAGTGCCTAAAATTCTGAGAGGGGACTAGAGAAGAAACTGAGGCATGGCCATCACTTAGGGAATGATTTCTCACTTTCCCTCTCTCTGTCTCTTCCTGGTGAGCACATTTGCTCTATAGCAAAAACTAAAACTAAAACTAAAAAAAAAAAAAAAAAAAATTATAGTTAAATATTACAGGATTTATTAAAATAGAATCAGAACTTTTATTTAACCATAAAGCACTGCTTCGACAGTCTCTACTGTTTAATGGAAAAAGACAAAACTGACTCCTCATGAATCAAGATGAGGTTAGGAACTTACTAAACTTTTGTTCATTTGGAGACAAACAGTTCTTAGAACATTAACATCTGACAATAACATGCATCTCTACTTCCTCAGTAAGCATCACAGAAAGGCCAAGGAGAATCTCCTGCTTACCCTGAACTTGAAACAGTTCGTCCTCTTCCACCCAAGTTTCTTTTTCTTCAACCCCATTAGAGTTGTTCCACTTGCCTTTGGATAGCCTGAGGGGAGATCAATAAGAGGACAAGATGTAAAACAACGTCCTGGGTCACTGTACACTGTCCTCGGCTTGCTCATGGCTCTGTGACCTCCTTGTGCTGCAGTGATCACATTCAAGGTTCACCTACCCACACAACTCCCAAATCCACTGGTTTTTTTCCTTAGGCTGGCCAGGCATCCACAAGAATGTCTCCCAGGCCACGGGATCATCTCTCAAACAGCACCAAGTCCATCATGCTCCCTCTCAAAATCTGTTTTTCTTTTCTTTTCAATTTAGTTCTCTTTAAAAGTCTCAGCACTCATCTAACATGGAGGCTGCAAACTCCTCCCTATCTTTCATAGCTATGCCTTAGTCTGATCTCCAGACTTGTCTCCTTTCACTCTCTGTCCTCATTTAAGCCTATGGTGACTTTCACTGGTACAGACTGGGCATCACTCACCTGAAAATCTGAAACCCAAAATGGTTTAAACTCTGAAATGTTTTGAGTGCCTACCTGTTGATACAAGTGGAAAATTCAACACCTGACCTCATGTGATAGGTTGCAGTCACAATGCTCCAATATGAAAATATTGTATAAAATGACTTTCGGGTGATGTGTATATGAAACATAGACTTGGGTCCTAAACCAAAGATGTCTCATTATGTACATAGGCAAATATTCCAAAACCTGAAAACAAACAAACAAACACAAAATCTGAAGCACTACTGGTCCCAAGCATCTCGGATAAGGGATATTCAACCTATGTTACACTATTCTCTTAATGGGAATCTTGCCACTAGCTTCTTCCCCTTCCAAAGACACTGGAAAGATTGTCCTAAAACTGCTGGGTTGTTGGAAAAGTCATTTTCTATGCAAAAATGCATCATGACTTTTCTGACAACCCAATACCACATCCTTCTTTTCTGTGATGGCTTTGTACTGCCTAACGAGTAGAGCCTAAATGCCTCAATGGGGGAGTCCAGATCACCAGTCTGCCCCCACTCAGTTTTACCAACTGCCCCAGGATGTCCACCCTTCACAAAGAACAGGGCCACTTCTGTGCTCTTCCTTCCTCTGTAAGCTCTACACTTTCCTGCGTCTTCACATCCTGTTCTCTCTGCTGAGGAGTTCTTTCCCTGCCAAGTGAAATCCTAGTCTTTATTCAAGGCAAAGCCTCCTGTAATTACAGACCCCAGTGCCCACAGAAAGCCTCCACTTTATAGACAGCTTTTCCATAACCTACCCTAACCAGGGGCTCCTTGAAAGCAGAGAGCACTTCTTCATTGTCTAACCCTGACAAGTAGCACAGTCACACACACCCAACACAAACTGGAGACACACCAGCTAAACTATTTCTGGGGTTATCAAAGAGCTGCAAAGGAATTTCAGCATTGGAGATCATAGTAATAAGCAAGAATCCTTCCTGTGACCCTGCAGTGTTAAGTAGTTGGGTATAGTCCCCCCACCCCCAAAAAAAGCCTGAACTGAAAAATCCAAAACCCAGATTATGAAATGAAAATTAGTCTGTCTCTTCGAACCAACTTTTAGCTGTTTACTTGATTATTAATATAACTGCTCTTGGAACAGAGCACAGCATAAATCTTCAGAATTATAACATCTTTTACAAAACAAACATGAGAAATGTCTGATTTAAGTTTTGAAGAATTTATATAGATCAAAATGGCTGATCAAGAGAGTAGAAACAAACTTGACTCCTCACCCCCCTATGAAAAAGAAACTTATTTTTAACACTGGGTATTTTTCAAATGAGCAATGAAAGCAATTTGGTCAGTAATTATTGGGTCATCAGAAGTCAGGATGCATATTTGCATAGAAACACAGAAAAATACATCCGATGACCCACTACATAGGCTTGGAAAAACTCCTAGTTTTTTAAGTTTTCTATGAAGTCACCTAACCAAGTGGCTAAGATAAATGGTGTACTATTTACTTTCTTTAGTTTTGAAATGGAATTATATCCCCAAAATACTGAGAATTTGAGAAAAAGTGAAAAAAATTTAATTATTTTTCTTTCTCAGTATATTGCTGTACTAGTAACCATTAATGAATAAAAGTCAGATGGGGTTACAGTGTAAGTTTTCTATCCATTTACTCTAGTACAGGGATAAAACTGACTCAATCCCAGGTCTCCTGCTGGTCTGTCATTTCCCCTGGTTAGCTTCCTGTAGAGTCTTGGTAGGTCATTTCAGTAACCTCTCCTCCTCTGAACTCTCAGGATTATGTACAACCTATATAGATGTTTTGGTAGTTTTATTTTATGAGGCTTGTGAAACCTTTCAGATCAAGTTACATTCACTACCTCTCCTAACATCTCAGGTTGTGGAAAGGCCTGGGTCTGGTTCCTCCTCTGAACTGTTGGGTGCCTCTGTGGGCCTGGGAAGTCAGCTACACCCTGGTCCTCCTGCTTCTTAGTGAAGTGAGAACTTGATAAGCAGTAGTCTAGCAGGGGTCAGCAAACTACTACAGTCTGTGGATGCTGGTTTTTGAACTATGAAGCTTGGGTAAGAATAGATTTTACATTCTTAAAGGGTTGTAAGAAAAATATGCAACAGACTTTTTGGATGTCATCCCTTAAAATGAAAGAATCCTTATTTTATTCAGTTAACAAATACCTAGTAAGCACTTGCTATGTGCAAGGTACTGTGGGAGATACAGAAATCTAGGAATTGTAGCCCTGCCCTCCAAGTGAAGTCTCCTAACCTGCTGTCCTATTCTCCAGGATTCACTGCTCCTGGCTTCCTCAGACCTTCCCTGCCCACCTGGCAGCAGCCTCCAGCCCCCCTCCTCCTCTCAGTGCCTGTTCAAAGCCCTCAGTAATGTCTTGTCAGGCTTTCTGGTTAGTAGTATTAAAAATATCTAGGACTACTTAGAAAAACAGATTACAAAGCATCCTCCTGCCTCTGATCCAGTGATCAGGAGCCTGGGAACATGTACTTTTTTTAGAAGTACTTCACAGATATTTGTGACACAAAGCCCAGTTTGAGAACCTCTGCCTGATAGATGACAACAGAAATTCAAGATCTAGTTCATTCCGCCTTTTCTCCCTTCTTCCTCTCCTGTGTACTGTATATAGACTACGGGTAACTTTTCAGAGCACACCAGCCTTTCTCATGCCCATATGTAAGGAGTTTCCACCCCTAGAACCCTCCACTACCTACTCTACTCCCTGCTATATACTTGATGACATTCTTCAAAGTCAGCTGTATAATCACTCCTCGGCCAGGTTTGTTCTACCTAAAACTTAGCTGGCCAGACCTCACTCTTCTTCCCTGGAGCTCCCAGGGCATCTCATACATAAGTTCCTTTAGAGCAGGGGTCACTGTACCCCTTTCTTCTGTAAAGGGCTAGACAGAATTTTCGGCTTTGCTTTACTGTCTCTGTCATGACTACTCCACTCAACTCAGCTTGGAAAGCAGCCAAAGACAATACATAAATGATGGGTGTGGCTGTATTCCAATAAAACTTTATTTACAAAATGAGCAGCAGGCCAATTTGGCTCAAATGCCAGTTTGCCAACTCTTGCTTTGGTGTACCTGTTATACTTCATGCCCTTGTCATATGAGAGGTGTATTTGTCTGACACTTTTCACAGATCTTCCCATTTACAAAACCGCTTAACCCTGCATTCTCTATACAGTAGTACATCTGTTCATGGAGGGCAATACCTACACTTCATAGGATTGCTGCAAGGAGGAAATGGGATCATGTGTTGAATTAGAACAGCAGTGCAGAGCTGCATTAGCTGCCCACAGCTATGCCCATTTGCCCACTACTTCTAAATGCAAGTAGTGGTATGTAGTGTGCAAATTTTTGCCCAAGTATAAACCACCTGTCAGGTGCCACAGACCTTTGGGGCACCTAGCACAATGTATTTCGGAGCACAGGTCCCCAAACAACTATAACATAGAGCAGTGGTAGAGATGGCAATGACCTTGGGAGATCAGTGAAGTGGATCACTGACCAGATGATCTGGGAAGAGTTCATGGAGGAGGTGGGATTTTAAGAAAGGCAACTTGGTGTATGTTCAGGCCATGGGCTTTTTGCGTCAAGACTGACTTGGATTAAAAATCCCAAAGCCCAGCTTTGCCACTTATAGCTGTGTGACTTCAGGCAATCTAGTAACTTTTCTGGGCCTTCCTCTTGTATACGGTGGGACCAATACATCATACCTCACAGAGTGAGGTGTGTAGAGGTTCAAAGGAGATAAAACATGTACGTGCTTGGCCTTCAGAAAGCACTAACAGCTTCTCTTCCCTTTGAAGGACAAATAGGATCCTGACAAGCAGTGATGGAAGGATGACAGTCCAGTGGGGAATGAGAGGAAGCAACAGTACAATAGTAGAAACAAACTGTGTCCCAGAGAGTATACCAGGCTGCCTGCAGGAAGGAGCCACAACAGGACAGCAAGGGTAGGAAAGCTCAAAAGCCAGTTAAGTCAGGATGGGGAGCAAAATTGATGTGTTCTAACCACTGCCCCACAGTACCCAGCAGAATGTGGGAGGTTATAAAATATTTATGGAATTTGCCAAGTCTCAAATGCTCATAAGAGGTGCAAAACTATAATATTCACCAGTCTCTTTTTAAAGTTCAAAGTATAACATAGCCTAATTCAAATGAGTTTTTTTAAACAAACAAGACTGATATTTAGTAGTCAAAGCACTCAGATGTTGGCTAAAACTGAAAGCAGCGATGAATAGGAGGCTCTGAAACCTTTCACCTCACTCAAGCCCTACAGCAATGCTTGGAAGCCTGTATGTGGGGCTTCAGAACTGGCAGGGCTGGCTACGTCGTCACTCCCCGCTCCCAAGTCACATCTAGCAGTCTGAGCAAGCCTTGGTGGTGAGTAACTTAGCTGAAAGTTACTTCTTTCACAGAAGTAATACCAGGCCCAACCAGGACCACCAACCAGCCCCAAAACTGCTACAAAGAAGGTCTTCATACTTGAGATTCTTCTCCCCAGGAAGGGGTTGATTGAGAACGGTGGGCTTGGATGGTGAGGCTGGGACGACCTCCTGGGAGGAGTTGAGGCCTGGGGTTGGCTCAGTACTCTGGCTGTCCTCTTCCAAAACCAATCTGCTTATTGTCATGCGCTTGTTCTTGGGCTCCAGTTCTGAGCTGCCCTCACCCTCTGCGGGGGCTGAATTTTCATTTTCATCTTTTCTTGGTCTCTTGTTTTTTAGGGCTGGTGATGGTGGGGGCGCTTGATTAGGAAGTACCAGATCTTTCTGGTCCAGTTTTGCAAAGGCTGCCTCAGAATCCTGTGCTCTGGACAGAGCCTTGAAAGCTGCCTTCAGAGTCTTAATTCCAATGGTAGTTGGAGTATTCCGAAGTTGCCTGCAAATCAAGCAAAACAAGATTGGTTTTGCTGTTGTTGATGCTCATCCAAACAAGTCCAACTTTTTCAAAGAGTGAAACTTCAAATTAGATAGAGTACTCCTCAGGTTGAGGGCTCATTTAAATAAAAAGAAGTTGACTTGACACAACTTTAATTTATAAAATCCTCCATTTATAATAATGAGTGTAAATAGAGGTTCTAAATGATATACAAGTTGTATCATGGAATTTAAACTCCAAGTAAGAGAACCTTAAAGGAACTCTGGTCAATGGTGCTTCCTTCAGAGACCTCCTTAGCCTGTATACTATCTAACCCTTTTGGTTTCCAGAGGCTAAAGCAGTGCTTTTCATGAGGTGAGAACTCTGAGTAGTGCCTAACAGCTAAATCCACCTGAGCAACTGCTAATTGAGTAGTCGCAACCTGAAGTCTAGACTCGTCTCCAGCATTCCCAGCCCAACCCTCATGTGAGAGAATTAAAAGACTGATCTCTACTCTGCCTCTTTGTCTAATAATACACTTGTGAAGAGGATTTTGAGAATGCTGAGTAAGAAGCATGCCAAAGTTTTGGTACAATGAAAAAACATCTTGGAACATAAAGTTATCATTTGAGATAGCTAGTGTGCTTTAAGTAAAAACTATTAGGAGAGGAGCAAACTGGCAGCCTGCAGGCCAAACCTAGTAGGCTGACATGTCTTGCTGCCTAACCTATGAGAAGTTGTTTTTGTTTTTGTTTTAATGGACTAATTGCCAACATTCAAATTGGGAAGTCTCACGGCCAAAAAAAATATGGACCTTTCATGTAAACATCTGAAGAATTCTAGTTTGGGCATCCTTGGACATGCCCACAGAACAACAATCATAAGAAACTGAAAAGCATGCTCTTTGTGGCTCACAGTCCCATACTTTTGACTATCTTCTCCAACACCCACTCTGCTCCTTTGTACTTCCTACCAGCCTGCAAAGGCATCTAAACTTGTGGTTCTTGTTTTAGCAATGATGCTGGAATTCTGACTCACAGACCATAACACTGCTTCCTGAGTGTGTTAAGAGATTAGGTGTCATAGGAAGTACTAAGTAGATATGGGGGCAAGGGAAGGAGAGAGAAACAGAGAAAGAACCTTTAAGGAATAGCCCTCCATGACCTTCCCACTCTGTCTACAGTGTTCTCATCTCCCAGGTGCTTTTCTACTGCCTGCAGTGCCCATTACCAGTAGCCCAGTAATGTGTTGGTAGGTCAAATCCCCGAGAGAAACTGACTCTGCTCTAAGAGGAAGACTGATTCCAATGACCACCCTGGTGTTTCCCCAAGACCACAACAGGGCACTCTCTCACCGGGCAGGTTCTCTTAGTGGCTTTTCCACGGGCTCTGGTGCTGGCTGTTTATCTTCCTTCATTGTACTTGAGGCAGCAGACTCAGATTTTAAAGCCTTTTTTGCCATCTGGGAAAGAAAGGGTATCGGAATAAGAAGGCAAAAATTCATTAATTCTCTGCTTCTTTCACCATGAACCAACTCATTTTGCAAACAAGTTCACTTACAGATCCAATCTAGGCATAATGTGAACAAGGACATGAAACAGATCTTAGAAGAAACATATCAAAATTATTTTTTTCTTTCCTCAAAAATTAGTAACATCTCCAAAAATGACTATGAAAGTTTTCCCTATGAAAGAACTCAACTTAAGTGGTGCTAATCATCTTGACATTATAATAACTCTTAAATCTTTCACTCAGTGACATAACTTTTATATCTTCTCTTCCATGCATCTAATTTCAGCCTATTTCTCATATCTGACTCCCGAAGTACACTTCTGGGTCATGTACAAAAGTTAAGCTTATTAGGAACCAGCAGTTAGCGTAATGGCTATGTCGCTGGACTCCCACATGGTCGACCACGGTTCGCGTCCCAGACCTGGTGGCTTAAAACTCACACCGGGCGCGTGTGCATGTGTGCCCAAGATCCCGAGAGGAGAATGGAGGAGAAGGGACTGAGGCATGACCTTCCCCCTGGGGGGTGATTTCTTGCTTTCTGTCTCTGTGTCTGTCTCTGTCTGGCGAGCGCACGCGCCCTGTAGCGAAGATCTCTTAAAAAAAAAAAAATGTTGGGAGCATGTATGCCCAAAATCATGACAGGATAGAAAAATGGAGAAGGAGATGTGGTGTGACCATCCCCCATATCAAGTGCTTTCTCAGCTTCCCTCTCTGTTTCTTGCTGGTGAGCATACACACTTTCTGGCAGAAAAGAAAAAAACAAAAAACACAACTTTTCTTAGATAATTATTTTAACTCTATTCCTTCCTTCCTTCCTTTCTTTTTAATTTGACCAGAGAGGAGCAGAGCAAGAAAAAGAGTGTGAGATGGGGAACCAGCAGTTAGTGTAATGGCTATGTCATTGGACTCTCACGTAGTCAACCGTGGTTCAAGTCCCGGACCTGGTGGCTTAGAACTCACACCGGGCACGTGTGCGTGTGTGCCCAAGATCCTAAGAGGAGACTGGAAGAGAAGGGATTGCGGCGTGACCATCCCCGCTGGGGGGGTGATTTCTCGCTTTCTGTCTCTATGTCTCTCTCTGTCTGTCTGGCGAGCACACGCGCCCTATAGCAAAAAAACAAAAACAAAACAAAACAAAGAGTGTGAGAAAACAAGTGCCAGGTCCGGGATTTGAACCATGGTCAGCCATGTGCGAGTCCTGTGCCCTTAACTACCACATCACCTACCGGCCCCCTCTGGCAAAATATTTTTTTAAATTATGTATTTAATTTTATTTATTCATTCATTTATTTTAATTTGACCAGACACACACACACACACACACACACACACAGAAAGTGAGAAAGCAAGCCACCAGGTCCAGTACTCGAACCGTGGTTGGCCATGTGGGAGTGTCCAGCACTTTATACACCATGCCACCTGCTGGTCCCCATTGGCAAAATATTTTTAAAAAGAAAATCCTTTCCTAGACCACACATAGAGCCCTGAGTATCTTTCCTGACTTAAACTTTAGACATTTCCAGTCAGTCTAATATTATTGAGTTTCAGATAGGAGTATTTGTAACATGTGTTGTCTTAAGAGCTAAGCGTTTTATTCTTTTTTTTTTTTGGAAAGGTTTTTGCTATAGGGTGCATGCGCTCGCCAGGCAGACAGAGACAGAGAGACAGAAAGTGAGAAATC